AAAAAAGAAGTATGGGAGATACCTATCCAAAGAAAGTAGAGTTGTGTTTTGGTATAACAAATTAAAAAATGACAAGAAGTTTTACTGGGAACGAAGAAAAAGTATTTTTAATTCTTATAAAAACATGCAGTTCTTAAAATAATTTCCATCTGTCTTTCTCCTTAAAAACATGCATTTCCTCTGCCTAAAACAATTCTAATGTAACACAGAAATCCTCCTGTAATCAGAGTTACAGCATTACTTACCTTTCCCCGTGTGCTCTCAAGTTCTATTTCAGCTTCTGCAAGTAGCCTGTCTGCTTCTCTAAGCTCCGACCGTCGTTTCAGAAGTGTCCTCTCTATACATTCAATTTCATTTGCAACATCTTCATGATGTTTAAGAGATCTTTCTAACTGTAATTCTGCTATTAGGTTGTCAGTGCACCCCTCAATAAAGTCTCTAGTAGGTCCAGGGTTGGGGGAGGGTGACAAAACAAAAAACAAAACAAAACAAAAAACCAGAATTAAAACACAAAGTGCTAGAGGCCTAGGAGTCTCTTAAAGCTATAGTCTGTGCTGTTCCATATACTATACAAATGCAAACATTAACTGTGCTGCATCAAAACTGTTATTAGAAAAAATAGCAGGAATATGTACATGATATTTTAAATGCAACCTAGTACAATATTCTTACTTCCGTTTGTTACGCTTCTGAGCTGCCCTTCGTAGCTCTGCTACCTCATGTTCCAGCTCTTCTCTTTCATGCACCAGATCTTCAACATTTTGCTGTAACTTTTCCACCTCTTTCCATTTGCGATCAGCTTCCCCTGACCATTTATCTCCATATTTCCGAGACTTTAGATGATACACAATGTCTTCTAGCCTTGAGACTTCGTTCTCCTACATACAGAAAATACAATAGTTGAATCTAGACCAGTGTTCTGCCTCAGTCCTCCAAAACAGCGTATTTCAGACACAGCAGCAGCTGTAGGTAGCAAAGACCAGACTATTAACACTAACAATGGAGCATTCTCATTAGCAAGGACTCTGAGATCCAGAATCTTGCTAGAAGTGTCTTTTTAACTCAATCAAGATTAAGCATAATCCTAAATTTGACTTATTTGGGCACTTTTTCTGTCCCCTTACATAGAATCTGTGGAAGTGAGGATGTTTTTTGAGGAAGGACATGTGAAGAAGTGTTCCTCACTCACTCAGAAGCCAGTTGGCTATGGGTAAGCCCACAGCCTCAGGCCTGTGTCTTACCAATTCATGATGCTCGGGCACGTTGCAGTGCAGCACTCCCAGGGGAATGAGCGGGACAGAGAAACTGGCTGGCAGGGGGCCATAAACGACCTGGGCTCCCGCAGGAGGTGGGCCGTAGATAACTGTTCCAGGAGCAACTGAACTTCCATTTGCTGGCGCAGAAGGAGGAGGACCATAAACCACCGTTCCCTGTGGTAAAGGGGCACCATCTGGAAGGACTGTGTAAATAACTGTACCAGGTGGTGGTACAAAGGGAGGGTCTTTTGGAACAGAAGTTTCCTCGTTTCCTCCACCATCATCTTTCTCTCTTCTATCTTTAGGCAAAAAAAAGATTAAAAAAAGTTACTTTTTCGCTCTTAAAATAAAAGATATTATTAAAATTCACATTTCAAAATAAAACATTCTCTTAACTAAGTACAAAAATGTAATAAATGCTGCTTACACTAAATAAGCTCATCATAAATAAACAGTTATGATTCACTCAAGCACACCAGGAAAATTCCCTTTGGGCTCTACTCAAATCTATGATCACTATGTCCCTAAACCTTCTGAGATATCAGACTGACCTACCTTTAGTGGAATTTGTTTTGTACAACCTAGTTCTGACTGGTGAATAAATCCAACATCCTCTTGGACTAGGCAAGTCTTCCTTCCTGACTTGCTTGTCCTGAAGGCGCCCTCTTTTGGCTGGGGATGTGCTGGAACATGGTAAACCAACTCCAGAATCTTTTGTGCTATGAGAAGCAGGAGTTGAGACCTAAAGAAAAGCAAATGCACATTAATATGAGACCTTGTCTTCTAGAAGAACAATTAGTACAAAGTAAACATCTAGAACAAATAATGTTCTAGACATTCCAAACACTTATTTTTCAAGAACAAGCTAGTCATACTGTGCCTTCCCTTGTTCCGAAGTGTCATGTTGAATTTAAAAGTGTGTGTAGCCTTCCCATGACATCAAGCAATACATAGGAACCTTTCCATGAAGTTTGAGTTATGTTATAGAGCAATTCTTTTTTAAGAAAAAGTACGAGAACTATGGTCTGTGTTAGGGAAAAGAGTGATCAAAACCAGAGATTTATTGAACACAGAGAACACAATTCTCCTTGCCGTACGCTTTTTTACTTAAAGCTTTTTTCCTGAATTATCTTACAATGTTTCATCTTGTGTAGTTTTTCCAACTTGTATATATACTAGACTTCTATTACTACAGGACTTCATAAAGGCTTTGACCCTGCATGTGCAGGGGGGTTGGACTAGATGACCTCTAGAGGTCCCTTCCAACCCTAAGCATTCTATGATTTATCAGGGCACATAAGTGTGCTTTATCAAGAAAAGTATTTGTACTCATAATTCAGTAATTCCTCCAACATCTTCTGTTTAGTTCTCTCAAATCTAGCAAGCTTATAATGTACTTTCTCATATTCAATTTCTCACCTGTGATGGTGGCCTGTAATACCAGTATCCCCTCCTTTTGAAGGGATCTGTTATACTAGTGATGTAATCATTCTGGTAAGAAAGTGTATTTCTGAGTGTTGCAATTTCATCTTGCAAGTCATCAATTTCCTCCTTGTTACCTGTAAATTAATTACATAATTTTATAAGCATATAGGGGAAATTTTCGTTAAAGCAATAATTTAAAGCTTTTCCTCATTGTTATGTTGTTAACCTGAAATAATATATATATTAAAAAAAAATGAAGGAAAAGTCACTCAGCTTATACTGCAGGTAACTGATGAAAGCAGGTGAAAAGTACTAAATAGCTAAACAAACAGGAACTCCTATAACCAAAATTGTATATATCCTAAACAATTTATTCCTAGGAGAGAATTCCCAGGATGAAGTAGGAATCAGAGCTTTGAGTGGCTTCTTAAGGTTAGGGAACAAACAGTGAGAAGTATAGTGAAGAAGGTGAATTCTTCTTTATCTGTGCTTGACTGCAAGAAACAGTGAGAAAAGGCCCATTACCTGTCCTGATGTTGTCCAACAGCCGTCTCAAACGGTCAATTTCTGCTTTCTGTTGCTTCATAGTTCCATTTAATTTATCAATTTCAAACTTCTCGGAGCTTGACTCAGCCTTATCACCAGCTTTCCCCATTTCATGCTGCAACTATTTACAATGTAGTTCAAATCAAAGCACATGAGTGGAAATCAGACTGTGCTGAGACTTTTTCCCAACAGCCCTATCCATTACTGCAGAAGTGCTTATTAGCAGAAAAATCACCCAGCCATTTTAACAAAATTGTTCTTCCCACTCCTTCAAATGACTGAATCTTGTAAATGTCTTTGTGGATGCAACTGTAAATCAACAGGTAGTAATTTTACTCAAAAGTAGCTGCCCTTGTCAACAACATGCACTGCCCCTAAGTATTTTGCCTCTTATAATGAAGAGCAAACATTGCCACAACTTACTTGTTCTTCCTTTTCCTTTAGGAGTTGTTGTAGCAATTCTATTTCTGCTTCCGCTCGGGCCAGATCTTGAGCTGCTTGAGCTGCCTGAACGTAGAACTCCTCAGCTTCCTCACATTCCTATAATTGAAATTTGAATTTGGGCTTTAGGTTGCAAGAATACTCCACAGGCTGGCAGATGTCTCACACAGCTCTGTGAAAAACAATAAACTAGTAAGAAGCATCAGCACTAGCCTATCCTGGGATTTAAGAAACTGGTAAAAAGTACATACCATTTACAAAAGATACTGTTCCTCCTTTAGCTTTATAATATTTCTAGAGAGTATATGTTTACATGATATAATCACAAATGATTACCAAAAATGGTTTAAAAAAACCCTAAATCAGACATATTTCAAAATGAAATGCCCTCCAAAGAAAAACCTCCTGTGTAGCAAGACAATTCAAAGATTTAAAGTTGAATTTAAAAGACAATACCAAGACTGTCCTCATTACAACAGTCATTAGAAAGCACAGCTTAATTAAAGCAAACATTTAATTATCATTTTGGTGATTTACCTCAGCTCGCTCCTGGTTAATTCTGAGAACAGTACCATGAAGAGCCTTTAGCTGATTTTTAGCAATGGAGAGCTCTGTGGCTGCCAGTTTATCTGAAGTTATGATTGCTCTTTTCAATTTCTTCAGTTCTTTGTCTAGACTGACAAATTGCATTTCTGCCCGGGCATCATCTATTTTTTTCTGAAACCAGGAAAAAAAAAAGGTTTTATGATAGATTTCCAGTGAAAAACAATGTAAGAGAAAGATTTACTCTTGGTATAACTTTTTCCAAACATTGTATCTCATTCTGTATTGTGTGTATAAAACGTCAGAAAATCCAAAATCAAGATGACCAATAAAACTTGGGCAGGGGCAGAAAGTTATATTTAACCTTCCGGTTTCCTTTTGTATTTGATCTGGGTCTTTGAAAGCAAAACAATTTTAAAATCTTTTAAATATTCTTTCCCTGAGCAATCAAATGCAGTGTATGATCACTTGTTCCTACCTTTTTCTCTAAGTCTTCCAATTGGGCAAGAATAGTCTCTTTTTCCTCATCTGCCTCTTGGAGCTGTTGATCAGCAAGGCCCTGAATTTCTTCCATACTCTTTATTTTTTCATGCAAATGTTGAATTTCATTCTCTAACTGACGGACCTTGTTCTCATTCTGCCTGTTTTCAGATTTAACCTGTAATTGACATAAATTACAATGAATAGCCTGAAAAGTCAAATTAATCAGCGTATTTGTTACCAAAAGAGAAGGCAGAAAGAACTATTTTGCCACTGTAACAATTGTGTTTTATAAGTGCCCAAGTTATTTAGTAACAATATGCATCATGATTTCTGACTATATTTATTCTTCTATCTATATTCTGGGTCTCTTTATTGCCTGAGACATACAATAGAGTCAAAGTTCCAATTCACCAAATAATGTGGCAATCTTAAGAGCTATTTAAAACATTCACCACTCTAGAAGCCCAAAATGAATACTTATTTTGCTTTCTTTTAATAAAATTGTATTTCTCAAAGACGGAAGGAAGCAAAACTTCATATGATGTAAAACTGAAGCCTTGTGTTGCAAGTTTCATTTTTGACTAAGTTCAAGTTGTCTTATTCTTGTTTTTGTAGCTTTTGATTGTTTGTTTTTGTTTTACGTGCCTGTCTATATTTTTCCTGTACATCTTCCAGCTTATCCTGCTGAGATGCCATTTCTTCCTGCAATTGTCTCTCTCTAGCCCATGATTTCTCTCTTTCTCTCTGTGCGTCGACAAGGATGTTATTAAATTCCTTCTGCAAATTTGCAAGGCTTTTCCCTAAAACATCAGCTGAATCATGACATCTGAAAGAAAAACAATTCAGGTTCTAAGACAGAAAATTATAAAAAGAGAAAATAACAAAAAATAATAGGCTAGTGCAAGGGTTTAAGACAGTGTAAGTGAGCGCAGGTGCAACACTGAACAGTTCACACTGCACAGGCCTCTCCCCTGGCTCTGCATTTTCCCTTCTTTCTTTGTTTATTCCCATTATTTGTAAAAGCCTTGCCCAGGTAGGGAAACCCAAGAGAAATGTATATTTCTCTCAGTAATATAACTAGGATAATTAGTGAGCTCAGGTGATGCTCTCTTAATTAACCACAAAGTCTGAGCTGCCCCAGGCTGCATTCAGTGGGACGCAGCACATGCACACTATTGCTCGTAGGTACTTTCTGAATTCACGTGCACAAACCCTATAGTGTTTGTAAGGTTTTTACTCACTCAATCTCTCCAACTCCCATTTGAAGCTTTTGTTTGAGTTCACTTATGCGAGCTAAGACTTCCTCAGGATGAAGTAAGTTATCAACTGCATGGTTTAGCTGATTTTGAAGATCTTTGAGCTGTTCTTTTAGGAGATTATTGTCTCTCTGGAGAGAGAAAGAGAGAAAGAGAGAGAGAGAGAGAGAGAGAGAGAGAGAGAGAGAGAGAGAGAGAGAGAGAGAGAGAGAGAGAGAGAGAGAGAGAGAGAGAGAGAGAGAGAGAGAGAGAGAGAGAGAAAACACCCCCCACAGATTTCAGTGTTAAAAACGCTATCATTAATTAAGAGTTCAACAACATTTTTCTAGTATAAACATACAAAAACAACAGTACCAGTTACAAAACAGGAACACCCTAAACAATTTTTGCCTTTTCCTCTTTACTAAGAAGTATTTAAATGCCAATCAGAATTGACTTTACCCTTTTCTTACATTAATTAATGTCTTTATATATGCAAAGCCCCTTGACATAAACAAGCCTGTCACAGCATCCATACTGAGCAATCAGGAATGCTGCAGCTGGCAGTAGACCAACAAGTCATATTCATTCTGGATCTATTAATCTTGAGATCTTTGCACATCTGTAAGCGTCAGCACGATAGCACTAATAGCACGATAGCACTAATGTCCAAAGACCCTTTACAGGCTGGTGGTAAAGGTATCCTCCGATAAGCGGAGCACATGAGATGGGAAGAATGAATTTGATGGCAAAAGGAAGACTGAAACCAGACTTCCTACAGTTGGGGAAACTGCTCTCATCGTTCAGATGGATTTTGAGAGGGGCACCACTACCAGTCATATTGTGAAAATCCTGATCCCAGAGTATTAACCTTGCCTAGAAAAATCCCAGTGCCTGGACCTCTCAGAACATGCAGGAGGAACACTCAGTTACTGCTCCCAAGGTAAGACACTGATTTGTGATAAATATCGAAAGTAGAGGTAGATAAATGACAAAGGTGTAGAGCTCCCAAACAAGAAAATTAGAGTCCAATACAACAGAATATCAAAATTCAGTTTTTGCAAATCTTTTTTTCCTAAGAGGAGCAGAGAAACGTACCACGTATCAGACAAGTATTAAGGCAACGTATACTTAACCTGCAATTGCTTGAACTGTGAAAGGAGTTTATAATTTTCTTGTTCCTTTTCTTCTGCTAGTTGTGCTTTGGTCAGAGCATTCTCCAATGCTTGCCTTTCTTTTTCAAGTTCAGCTTGCAGGGCTGATCTTTCCATCTACATACACCAAAAGACTTCAGATTAAACCTAGTTCTTGTCCCAAACCTCACTCCCCCATCACTCTCCAGAAAAGAGATATATTTCTTAAAATAACATGACAACTCATCTTTAAAAAGCATTCGCATCCCCCCACCAAACCTGATGAACCTCCAACACCTTAATACAACAATAACAACTGTATTGTTTAAACATCAGCACAGCCCAACCTACTGCTATAGTGTCTAACCTGGGCCCTTAGCACAAACACATCTACCCAGATAGAAACTGACAGACTTTTGTCTCTATTTTACAAAGAGCTTCCAATTTTCCCCTGAAACACCACTTCTTCAATATGGGTGCAGTTGTCTCTTTCCAGAAAGATGCTGTTTATTATCTAATGGGGTGAATATTCTCTACAGAGAGTCCTCAAATAAATTGTATCTTGTTTTGAATCCCAAGTTATAACTCCTAGCGAACTGATACCATCTTCCATTTTGTCATCAACTATTTGTAAGTCAGTGTTAGAGACACTGCATAGAAAAGCTTTTTTCTTCCAGCTTGATTAACCCTTTGACAGCGTAGCAGTCCTGTGCTTACCTGGCTAAGTTGTTTTAGTCTTTCCAATTCTTCCTTTTGCTGATTGGCTTCAGTGTCTCTGTCTCTTAACTGGGCTTCCAGTTCAGCCTCATAGGCACTGATGTCCCCCTGTGCATCTCTAAGCGATTCATTTATTTCTCGTTGCTCCTGGAGTGCAGCTTCGAGCATTGCTATCTCCTAAAATTTTACATTCTTTTCAGAAACACATACCCAGGAGAGCCTGCGTTTCTTAGACTGCCTCTGTTACTCAGGAACTGATAGTTAATTTTGATCCACCAGCTGTTACATTGAGACACCGCTCCTACTCACTAACCATACAACCATAAAAGCTACCCAAAAACAAACATACACTAAAATAAGGTAAAAAAAACAAACATGCTATTTTAACAGACTTTCTAGAAAATTAAAACCCAAGTTAACAAGATCTAGCCTAGAATGATAGACAAGCAGCTGTTTAAACAATTGGATGACAGGAGAGATGCAAGCAATAATAGGCACATATTGGACAAGTTACTGTTGTCACTAATACAATTCACTCTGACACTGACTGCAGATCCATTTTCAGTCAGTCCTGACACATAACGCATTTCCGAGACACCTTCCATGCAGTACACATTTACTGTAGGCTTCTGCTTGTAAAGGCCAAATGTTGTTCTTAATAGATGTGGGTGCATGTGACAAAAGTTACCAGATCAGAAAATAATTTTGTCCAAGGAACTGTGGTCTCTCATTCCCAGTTCTATCACTTATATTTCCAAGTTTAAGTTTATGTATCTGAATTTGGGAAGAAACATAGTATTTAGCCTTACTTTTTTCATATTTTCTGCATCCATGGCAACTATTTTCAGGTTGTTTCTTTCCTCCTCTAGTTCTGCCAATCTCTGGAGCAAAGATTCCTTATCCTTCTGCAGCTCCCTGCATTCATCACTGGCCTGTTTTGCCTGACCCTTCACACTTTCAAGGTATTCTTGCAATCCAATAATAATACCTTCTAAATCCCTTTTCAGTGCTTCATTTGTTGCTATTTGACCTGCAGAAATGCAAAGTAAATTTAATAGTCAATGATTTATAGCTATTTACTTGACAAAACAATTCAACAACATGACAAAACTGAGAATTGCCATTCGCAGTCGTCTTTAAAATATTCTACTGGAATTTGCAATAAAATCAAGTAACTAACATGCAACCAAAATAACACCTCTACTGTGTTTAAGGGCTAGAACATAGCATTTGCCTCTTATCATATTGATCTGTCCACTGGAAAACTTTTATACATAAAGTTTATGCACAATAAGGACAATTAACTACATTTCTTAAGTCATTTTTAAAAATTTAAGAGGACCAAATTGACACACACAAAAAAACGCCTCTCTGCAGGCTAAGATTATGAGTGAATCTCTTAACCATCATAACATCATAATAGCATTGGAGTTTCAACACTTCACTCAGACAATAAAGAGCAGAATAGTCCTCTCCTCTGTTGTAATAACAAAATTGCGGACCAGAAGGATATGTTAAATAAACAAAAACCACGCAACTCAAATTTGATCAAGGGCCTTCATGTCCTGACTTTTTATTCCCCACAGCAACAGAGCAGTCCTTTAACCAAAGCAGTTGTTTTCTTGTGGTGGTGGTTTTTAATGAACACATTGCCCTCCCCCAACCATTCCCAGCGAGATGAACATGCTAAGGAAAAAACAAAACAAACAGAAAAAAAAACACCCTTTTCCTTTTAGGTCATCTCGGAACAGTGTTCAAGTCTTTCGTACACCTTTTGTGCATCATAGAAGCAAATCCAACAAACAAAAGGCAAAAAAAAAAAAAATTACCATCAGTGAGCTGCTGCTCCAAGTCCTTGATTTCCTCTGTTTCCTTAGCAATCCTAGAAAGCATTTCATCCAGGCGACTCTCAAGCTGTTTGTAATGTTTGTTCATTATATCAAGCTGCTGTTCCTTGCTTGTTTTTTGAGCTTTCATGTGTGCCTGGAAATTACAGTTGGAAAGGTAAAGTGAGGAGAAAAAAAAAAAAAAAGGCAATATGGAATCAAAACAGGTGGGCTCAGTATTTATCTCTGCCCATCTACCGCAGTACGAGTGCAGTGCACACCTTGCTGTGCTTGTGCTTGGCTTCCCCCCACCATTAGCACTCCACAAAGAATCCCGTGGAGATAAGCAAGCTGCGTGAAAAATGTCTCCCCTTGCCAGGGAGGATAACTGCTGACCTAAATTGGTCCTCACAGCTACTGCCTTTCTTCCTGACCCTTACTTTTTATTATATTATTTCCTCTTTTGTTCAAGAATGAGCACGATTTCCCCCAAGGGCTTTCATGCTGTCATCCCGCATTGCCTTCACCACAGACCATGCTTCAGGACTTATCAGCTCATCATCCAGGAAAAATAATACTGTAGACATCAGAAAGGCAGCAGAGGCAGAATTATTTTTGTATTTCTGAGAAACCCACTGTGTCTACAGCTCACAGATTTGGTCAAGATTTCGTGTGTTTACTGTGAATTTAGCTGTTTGTTTCAGTTGTACACAAAACTAGATTATCAACACGGTATAGGGCTACCTGTTTCTTACCAGTATGAAATAATTTGCAAACAACTCAGCTGCCAAAAAAATACTTGGAAACAGACATAGTTTATACTTGCTGTGATGAAAACAACAAATTTAGCTACTCAAAAAAACTTCACAAATCCAGCTAATACTAGAAAATTGAAATTATAAGTTATCAGAAAAGTTACAGAAGCAACTTCAGTAGTGACAAGTACCCCAAAATACATAGCTTTATGTTTTAATATGCTAGAAAGACAGCAAGTTATGCTTAAATTTCCTGTTAATGCATTTTAGTTGTCACCTGTTAGAGACAAACATCCGTCTTTAAAAATGTAATTTCGACAAGCAAAATCCCGGCAGCGCGCTGCTGCTGAGTCATTTTGCCGCAGCTGCCGAATGTCACAAGAGCACTGTTTAAAAAAGGCAACACTTACAGCTTCGCCTTTGTCTTTCCTTCCTTGGGCAGTGCGTGCAGCGCGTCCCGGCCCTGCTCTAGAGCTCATTGGGACCGATCTCTTCGGCGCAGAGAGTGACAAGCGCCCAGGCTGCAGCGTTCCCCGTGCACCCCAGCTGGAGTGCAGCTGCAGCCCGGCACGGGAGGCAGGGAAGGAGGCAGGGAAGGAGGCAGGGAAGCAGGGAGGCTCCCCCAGCCCCGCTCGCAGCGGAGGCGATTGGCCCCGGCCTCGCTTCCTGTGTTGTGATTTAAAGCGCGGAGGCAGCGCGGGGCCGGGCTACGAAAGGGCCCGTCCGCCGCTGGGATCCTGCCTAACACGCACACACTCCTTCTACTACTTAACTGCTGCTCAATAAATATGCTCCCCCTTTCTTTTTTTAAAAAAAAGCATTTTCAAACCTCAGTTGAAAGCAGGCACCAAGCATAAAAATTCTTTCTTTCAGTACTCGCAAAGCCAAACAGGCCTAAAAAGCTGTAATTTTTCAACACACATTTTTAAAACACTATCAAAAAAAATCCATTTTATTTTAATTTACAATTGCTGTAAATAAGTTTGTTGAGGTTGAATGCAATAAATAAGTTAGAAATCAAATCTGGCTTCCACAATCACCATGGAAGCAAGAGTAGCAAGCTGCAGCATCCAGCTTTGCCCTCTTGTTATAAAAAATGACCTCCATAGAACCTTGTTGAAGGTATCAGTAATTGCAGGACTATCTGACAGCAGTGAGAAGACATTTATCCCCACCAAGAAGATATTACATTTCTTTTCGGTGTCACAGCTTCTTTTTGAGGATTGGTTCCAGTTTTGGGATGCTGAACTGTCTTTGAAAGCTGAAGCTGGTAATGCCTGCAGCTGCCTGCAGTTCACAGCTGCAAGAACTGCAGCACTTCAGTCAGCTACATGAGCTACCCAAGTAGAGCTGTAGGCCCATCTCTTACAAAGAGACTTTTCAGCAAATACAAGAGGCTTCTGACAAAACAGGACTTTAACTATAGGCCAGTTACAGCTACGCTGACCTTTAATTTTAAGGTCAAACCCTACAACAGATGCATGAAAGACTCTTGCAGTAAACAGAAATTCTCTTCTTCCAAGGCTCTGCGCATGATGTTTTTGCAGAGCAGAAGGATTTAGCTCTTAATGTATCGTGCAGCAGTAGTACTGAACTTGAGTTCCACAAATATTCTACGGGGATGAAGATTGGTTTCAAATTATGTAGAATTGCATATATTTTTTAAACGTTAATAGCTAGAATAAATAGTCCTAAATGCTGAAGAAATGGCTAAATAGCAAAAGGGTATGTAATTCATGAAATAGACATAACTGAATGGTAGTTGGTTAAAATAGCCTTTACGACATCTCTCAGGACATGAACAAAAAAAGACTACAGAAAACTACAATTTCATTTTACTTACGTGTCTTGGATCTTTAGAATTCACAGAAGCAAGAAAACACTGCAAGTCTTCAAGCTCTTTCTGCTTTTTTCCTATTTCTCTTTTCTCTTTCTCTATCTGTTTTTCCAGTTCTAAAGCTTCTTTGCGTAGCTGATGCAAGATTTGTATCTTGTTACACAATTGCTGCTCAAGATCTTCCCTGTTGGCCACTAATATCTGGAGGTTGGGTAAAATAGATACATTGGAAATATACAACTGATTGGGAATAGTTAAAAAAACAAAACAAAAAAAAAAACACCAAACAAACAGCCAAGACTTCCAAGATCTTTGAGGGGCCCCTTGTGCACATGTAAATCCATTTGTCATGCATAAAAAAAAGAAGCACCCACACAGGCCTTTCCCCACACACACAAATGATCATCTTTGCATACTTTTTTCTGAGTCAGAGCATCTTCCACTTGTCGTAGTTCTTCTGTTACTTTCAAAACTTGTTGCTCTGCATTTGTTATTTCACTCTGCAGTTCTTCTAATCTACCCTGTGCTGCAAATAAACAAATAAAAGCCAAAATCTATTTTAATATTACATGTAACACTGATACACATTTTCCTTCACTGATTTAACAAAAATGCATCTTACTAAAAGCATGACAATCAGAACTAATCTACTCTGATGTCTCCAATGTATCCCAAACAAGTTTTTTTGCTGGGTTGTGTCCAATAAGTTAAAATATTATAGATGGGAGACTTCCCTAGCATTCTCTTTCCAATATGAAAATGTAATGGTGAATTTCTGTTTGTCTCAAAATAACAACAAAAAGCAACTGTACCAATCTTGGCCCAAAATGCATCAAATACAATATGTTAAAGGTTGTAACTTCTAAACACTAACAGTAATTTCATGTCAGATACTTGTCAAGAGTTTCATCAGTGAAAGAAACATGAGTACATAATTGATTAATTTTAACAATTTACCTGAATTAATCTTTTTTTCTTTATCCTTCAGTTGTTCATCTAGAGTTTGAAGCTGCAATTTTAGCTTCGGGTTGCTATTTAAGTCGTCTTCATCTAGTTGCATTTTTCCAATCTTCACGTGCTGACCCTTATTACCAATATAACCCTCTCTTATAAACATATTTCTTTTATATCTGGCCTTACCAATATATGGGCTTTCACCAGGTGCATCATCAAGTTCAACATCCTGAAATGTATGAAGCAAAATTTATTTTATGCTATTTATATTTGTCTGTATCAAAACATGTTTGCAGTCAACCCATAACTCTCCTAACAAGCATACACAAAGAAAAGAAATCACTCTAAAATCATAAAAAAAAAATTTTAAAAACAAAAAGTGCTTGACTGTACTTGACTTTTTGGGCTTTGAACACTCTTGTGATTTTACAAGAGAAATAAAAATAAGCCAATAGTCTACTGATACTGACAGACACATTAGCAATTAGGGTATTATCAGTTTGTTAAATGGAAAAAGGTATTTAACTGGTGGAGTCTTTCTTGATACTCTAGACTTAACACTACCCTAAACTTATATACTTATACCATATACTGTTGCTCTGAAACTTTAGTCAAATATACTTAAATTTGAAAACTTTCACAGTTAATGGTCATTGATCTTTACATACTTTTATTATGCAGCCTCCCTTCATTCAAGTATCTCTAAAAAAATAATTTCAGCATTGTAAGTACGACAGAGGCCAGCTCTGTTGTTTAGGAGAAAAAAATAGTCAGAACTAAGGACAAACATTTGCTTCATTCCTAGTAAGAATGAAAAGTTTATTCACTGGCTCTGCTCAGTTAAAAGCTCATACATATGTAGGCATGCATACTAATATTCAAGCACTAAATGTCACTCGGATTTAATAGATTATTCATTTTATCCTTCAGTAAGAAAATATGTTCGAGTTATGTATCTTGTGATTTTAAATAGTGTTTTTACATTTATATTTAATAACTCTTTGTGAAGCACTGCTTATCAAATTATGGAAAATAAATTTCATAGTTATTCTAAATTTAAATGCAAGAAAAACAGAAGTGAGAAGAATTCTATTTTAAAATCATTACCTCTGATGGAAAATAACCTAATGGCTCAAATTTTGCATCAATCTTATAAAATGCCAATTCCTGCTCCAATTCATACTGTTTCTGGCAAGCTCGCGTTAGTTCCATTGTTTTCTGCTTTAGCTAATAAAACAGTAAACAAAAGTGAGTTCCACTCATTCAGAAGTCATCATTATCACATACATTCCAATACATTAGAAAGTAAGGGAGAAAAAAATTAAAGGGCTAAGATTCTGTATTTTGGGCCAAAAACATAGCAAAGCACAACTTCAATGAGATAAATTACAACAAACAAGAGCAGACAAGAACTCCACAACAAAAACAACACAAAAGATCACATGAAAGACCTTTTAAATATTTATCTTATAGAAATACAGTTTTTGATGCATGCAAAGTTCGAAAATAAATTCGCAAAATCCACACCACATTATCGATGTAATTGTTGCTACCAACATGCAGTGGTAGCCAAGAGAAATTATCTCGACTGTGGAAAGTGTCTAAAGTCTATCTATTTCACTGTAGCTTAACCCTATGCTCGTTGTTTGTTTGTTTGTTTGTTTGTTTTAAAACAAAGCTCCATCATGTGATTTTTTTTTTAATCACCTTTTCATGCCGAATAACTGAGGGAGAACACGCAGCAGAACTCCAATAGACAGTGGAATGCAGAGGACTAATGGAGGAAAAAAAGTAGTAGAATAGACTGGGATACAGGAAAGGCTTAAAGAAATCTTGAAACAAAGAAAATTAAAATATGTCGTGCCATGCAAAAATGAATTAGTTTAAGAACAAAAAGCCTTTGAGAAAATAGCATTCAGAAACAGTCTTAATAGTTTACACAGAAGTTCTTAATCTATTAAACATGCAAATAAATCCTAGAAATAAAAATAACTGTGCAATCCAGGAGCACATGGGGACTACCTTTAATGAGGAATAAAGGCTCTGCAGAAAAGGAACTGTGACAAACCAAGATACCAGCTATAGGAAGAAAGAAGCAAGCAGAGTTTGTCATCCAAAGGATAAGAGTGGGTTAAGTTGCAAAACATATGCTGCTAAATCTCACTATACTGAAAACTAGATTTTAGAAATACGCTGCTGGTTAGTAAACATATTCACAGAAGAAACAGCTGTAGGAATACTAGCTGTAGAGAATGTTAAGGATAAAATTATAGAAGACAAGTCTAACAAATATGATACAAAGGCTATCATTGGAATACAACTATTCAAACACCAAGTGTGTATACACGTATTTAATTTTACCCCTCACTGCAGCAGCACTTCAAAGTCTGTAAATAGTTCAGGAGCTTCAGTACACTGGCAATTTAGCAGCTACAAGATACTTAATCTTTCACCAACTGACAAAATTGTAAACAATAAAAAAGACTAGAAACAAACAATTTACTATAAATTCCATATTACAAGGATGATAGTAACTGCTTGTTCGATATACTTACTGCTTTCACAGAAAGAGTATTGAAGAATTACTGGTGAAGGAATAATTCCTCTGTACAAAGTTGAAGTGCCCTAAGTTTTATGTCTTCCGAAATACTGATGTCTCAAATTTAAGCATAAAATCTCCACTCATTTAAACTCTCCCATTGATAGTAGGATTAGCTTTGTTAATGGACAGTGCTATTTCCTTAGTGCAAGTGATTATCTTACCAGCTCATTTTTGGTGCCCAGGTCCCTTTGTAGATCTTCATAGCTTTGTTTCTGTTGCAAAGTCTTTTCTTTTAATGATTTATTCACCTCATCTTGATGTTGAAGCTGCTCAAGCACTTTGGACTGTTTTACTTTAAGATTCTCCATCTCCTTTACTGTATTTTCCAACTCTTTTTCTAATTTTTCTATTTCTTCTGAAAAACAAAGTAATAGAAACATCATACAGAAATCTTACCCATCTAAACTTACATTTGCTATCATTCATTATAGTTCTGGTATGTTACTATTACCTATATTAAATCTCTCTAGAGCTTCCTGCCTGTCATGACTTGTCACTGGCTGTCCCTCCAATGTCCCCAGTGCTCGCAAGTGGAATATGGTGTACGGGCGATAGTGAGGGAGACGCGCGACCGGGTTGTTGGCAAGGGAGAGAGAAGTCAGATCTTGCAGAGGCTTCAGTTTAGCAATGTCATGGAGCTACATCAAAGACAAATCGGTACAACGGTTAGAAAACCTTTGAAGAACAACTAAAACCCCATCATAGAATTTCTGATTGTATATGAGATTCATTAGATTCATATCAAAATGCCTGTTTTAATATTTATGCTAAACTGGAGTTTCTAAAAGCTACCCAAATACACAGTACTATATAGGTTAAGCTAGCTTTCTAAAATCAAACTGTTTCTACAAGGAAAAAAATACCAAGTCAAAGAGAACATACTTCATCAAGTTTGACCACGGAAATTCCAAGATAGGAAGGGTTCTGGATAAATATATATACATAACTTTCAATTCCAACAGACTATCTTATAAGAGAAGGCAGCCTTTTATGAGAACTCAAACAAAGCTGGATCATCTCTTCTCCTAGTAGCATGATTCCTTCAGGAATTAGCTGCAAAAGACAGAAATTAACCTGGACCACAGAAGTATTTGTCAGTTTTCCTGACAGAAGACTGTCTGGCTCATAACAGCTGTATTTCAATACAAATGCTCCAGAAGGACATTTGGTAATTATTCATAATAAGCCTATGTAAATTTATAAGTTCATCCTAGTGAAAATATTTTTAACAATTTACTGTTTATCTATGATCACTTACGGATGATACTTTATTCTGTTCCAAATTAAGAATGCGCAGGGACCTCAGTTTTTTCCCTACCCACAAAGGAATGTGCTCAATCTCATTTCCTGCAAGATTCAGCTTTTGTAGATTCAGCATGTGTTCTATACCTTCAATTTTACTGAAAGCAAGAAAAGAAACATAATTCATTCTAAAGGAAACCAAAATTATATTGCAACTGAGGCATTATGGGCAAATTAAAGCAAATCCTGTTTCATCTATTTACCATCTAAGAAATAAGCAAAAAAATAGTTCATTGCAACAGACTCACAATTTAACATAAAACAACTCTGGTGTAAATTTAAATGTTACATCAGGAAAAAAGATAAAGATAAGATTATGGTAATGGGGTACCACAAACAAAGCTCTTGTGGCCATATTATTTTTAAGCAGAAACAAACTGTATGTAACTGGAGTCTCGAAACATACACCATTAGCAAAAGCAAAACCTACTCTGACCTCTTCCTTTCCTGTTAAGAAAGGAAGTTGCATGAATGCAACATATTAAAAAAGGCTGGTGTCTTGCATACTTCCTTTTGTTAAACTTCTTTACTGAAGTTGTGGCTTCTCTACTGTAAAGTCAGTCTCACATAAAAAGATCATACATGACTAATAGAAAAAATAAAGGAAACGAGGAATTTTGCTATTGCTTGAATGATTATTCTTCAGCATATTTTTAACTACTCAGATATGATACCCAGCTCTCAAAATGAGGAAAGTGAAAAAGCCATTCAGCAAATTTCTGCTTACCTGATTTTGTTGTAAGACAAATTGAGTTCACGCAACTTCGACAGTTTATCCAACTTCTCAATCTTTTCTATTTGGTTGTTACTGATATTCAGTGACTCTAATTTAGAGCACTTTTCCAAATTTTCTATGTACTAAACAAAGCAAAACAAAAACCCTATTACTTAGCATTACAACTGTGCTGCTTTTTCATGAGTAAGGTAATTTTGATTTTACAAAAGCTGCTTGTAGAATTGGATTAAGATAGCTGACTTACCTTAAATTTCTTGTCCCCATCCTTCACAAAAGAAAGATTCAGTGAGCTTATACATGCCAAATTTTCCTGTTTTGATAAAGCTTTTATAAGGGATTCTGTAATGTACCTAACTCCTGGATTAACACCATTTTCATCTGAAATTAAACAGAGAAAACACCTTCAGTAGTGATAGAATCAGTGAATTTTATTTTTTTGCATTGCACTGAATACAGGGACCAGTGAGTTTTATTTTATTTTTTTTGCATTGCACTGAATACAGGGAAAACATGGAAAATATTCCCCAACACAGGCTTGGAGAAGCTGCAGAATCATTTCCATTAACTGACATGTAGTGGGCATTTGATCTTTTGAAAAAGATATATCATTCATCTTCCTGAGCCAGTCTTCTCTCCTGCTGCAGGATATAAGAAGATTCCATTATTCTACACAGAATCATGTGTAGAATCATTACTATAATTTCTGAATTTTAAGTACCAAGAGATAAAAACAATAGTTAAATTATGGAGATCACAGAAGATTGGCTTGGTATGCTTTCAGTATGTACTTTAATAACAGCAACTATTTATACAATACCTTCATGAAACTGATTCTCGAAAGCAGCTTCTATATTTCTTGCTGTAACACGAGGTTGTTGGTGTCTCTGCTCCCTGCCTTTGCGAGGCAATGGAGACGCCTGTTGACTAAGAGGTGATGGTGATCTGGTGCCTGAACTGACAGTAGACATTGGACTAGGTGTCCGAGAAGCCGACGTCTGCCTTTCCCCACATAATGTTTTCTGTACCGAGCCTTTCTTCATTGCAAAAGATACAGATTATCATATGACCAATATCTGTAAGAACAGAAAAAAATATTGAGGTTTTTAAAGTTTATACATAGCCCTAATTCCTAACAGGTTCCATGCTGACAGAGCTGCTATGGAATCATGTTTCTTAACAACCTTAAAAGCACATTATCTCTGTATCATTATGTCTAATGGCACAGTTTCTCATTTCAGATGATACACCACTTCCGGCACTACAGAGGTGATATTTTAAAAATGATTTTTTTTTGACATAAAGAGTATATTACCAGCAGTGATTCACTGCCAAAACCCAAAACCAACATTTAAAACAATTCTCTACTACCTTCAGTTTGCATGGACGAAATCATACTAGAATGGATAAACATTAGGAATTGGCCGAACAATTTTGTAGTTTTTGTAACTATTTTACATTTTGGTAACTGTCCTGTGATTTATGGCTTAGATGAATTCTCCCTTTTTACAAACACCCACAACTGGCTGGGAAATTCCACAGAATTTTAATACAAACCTCTCCTGAAGAATAATATATTTCCCTAGAGGACAAGCATAGAAAGACTCATGTCCCCATTCTCTCTGTGAAATCCCTTGTAGTAACTATCTTCCGGTGACTGATCTTTACTAAAACCTGGACCAGTGGACAGCAGGATATTTTTAGCCATCCTTCAAGATAAAAACATCTGCTTTTAATGGATTTTTTTTTTCTTGACAGACAGGGCAAACCGCTCACATGGCACAAAGATTACAAGATTTTTTTCATTAGCATGGAATTCTGAACATCTTTAAAAAATGAACGAGAACGCTACCCTGGTCTACCTCCATATTTAGAGACACAACTCCTGTCATGCAGAGGCCAGAAAGTCAGATTTGTAGGGGGAGGCGAGAGAAAGGAGGTGATGAGCTAAAGCAAAACCACTCAGGAACGTTTCTCAGTGAGTTAAGGAAGGCGGTTGGGCACTTTAATGCCATTTCCTGAGGAGAAAACGTGCGTTTATAGGCAGAAGCACATCAGGAAAGCTCATGTTAAAGGCGGGGAAAGGGGGGTAAACTGAAGTAATTCGGCCCCGGCGCCGCCATCCCCGCCCGTTAACGGCCGCCGTCCTGACCGCACCTGAGGGGGTGGCGCCCCCGCAGCCCCACGCGGGGGGGTCCGCTGAGGG